TACCGAATTTCAGGTCATTCAGATTTAATATTAGGGCACAGGAGCCAAAAATGTACATTTTGGGTCCGAAAATAGCCAAAAAGCCTTATTTTTCCCAATTTTAAAGTGGTGTATGTCAAAAGCTTGAATGAGTTTTTGTAGACATATGTCCAAGGTATCCCCATACCAAATTTCAGGTCATTTGGTTTTAGTACCTGGGAACCAGATCTCAAAATGTATATTTTTTGCCTGAAAATGGCCAAAAAACCCAAGTAAAACAATTTTTCAAAAAAATGAAAAAAACGCGTCGGGGTATTTGCCCACTCTACCTTCATGCCAAATTTCGTGTTATTTGGCCGGAAAATGGCAGAGATGAATCCATTTAAAGAAATGGCAGGAGGAGAAGGAGGAGAAGGAGAAGAAACATGAGGGAACACAATATGTCTTCACCACTTTGTGGTGAAGCCATAACAACGGGGCATCGGATTGGAAAATATTATGCTGAGTCACACTGTTTACATAGAGTTAATAAAGTGCTATCGTCACATTTCCAAATACATGTAACGTTAGATGCTTCGATTTTCCTCTGAATATTCTTTCTGAGTTTCTCTACACTTTCGGGTAGGAGCATTGACACTTACTTTAAAACTCTATTAAAAGAGAGCCTGCATTTAAGTAGTGATTACGAATTATTGCCTCTGATTATGAATTATTATATATTCTCAGAGCTGATTACGAATCATGAGGCTTGAATTATTAAGATGTATGTTGATTTTGGCCGGCTGCCTACATGTTAAAATTTGCATGATTATCCTTACAAAGGGGCACATGCTGGGCCCCTGTGCATTCACGGTAGGACTGGAGAGATTTTAGTTGAAGCAATCCAGTTGTGCAAATAGATGTATGTACAAGGGTGACATTTGCAGTGAAAACTGCAAAAAAACTCAAGATTTACAGAACATCAAGATTTTAAAGATTTTAAGGTTCATTAGTTTACTTCAGTATCAGTGCCTGACCATTTCAAACAGCCAGCATCCAGGCAATATCTTCATGGACAGTTTTGCTCCTGAACGCTACGTCGAGTTTGTTTTGAGTTACCAGGTCCCCAAAAAGCAGGATCCACCATTCATCTCATCATTGGTCGATTGGAAAGTGGAAGCCGTGAACTAATTTTGGGGAAAATGACCAAGTCCAACATGTACTGGCATATGCATGGAGTCATAAACCCCCAAATGAACAGATCTTTATGTTCATACCACTCAGAAAAAGTCTCAGATCTACATGGTAACCAAATCATGAAAACATCGACTGGGCCCCTCTGGTGTCTGACTAGGCCCTGAGACAAAGTTATCATGTCACAGATTGGTGCATCAGTTTCTTTGAAAGAGAAAACCGCAAAGTTCACATGTTCTTGAAGCTCCTCAAGATTTACTGTAAATGTTCATCATGCCAAAGGGGAAGGAGCCTATGAGCATGACAAGGAGGAAGATGAAGATGACAGAAAAAAAGAGGAGGAAGGAAGAACCAGCAGAAGAAGAAGAAGAAAGCAAGACAGTGTGGACGTGGAGTAGGGGGAGAGCTAGTGTGGATGCGGACCAGGATAGCGAGCCGTACCCCTCCAACCAACAGACCCCGCAGTCTTCCCAGAAGGTTGCCATCTCCGAGGAACAAGACGATCTGATTGCGTCCTTCTTAGAAAGCCACCCGGCTTTCTATGACGTGTCCCACACAGACTACAAGAACAAAGGAAAGAAGAATGCATGGTTGAGGAATGCAGCCCCTGCAATAGGACTAACGTGTAAGCTTCCGACATACACTTACCTTGTTCAGTTTTCTAATTTCTTGCTTTATTTTTTATTGAATGAAATTATGTCAATGTCTTTTTTTGTGATGTTTTTTTTATCCTTACAGCTAAACAGATTCTCACAAGGTTCCGGACAATGAGAACAGATTACTTCAAACTGAAGCGGAAGGTTGCAGAGAGAGCTGCCCGCGGGCGGCACAAGATTACTCCACTGCAGGAGTTTAAACTGCGCCGATACAAGTTCCTTGATGCACACTACCGGGGGAGGGACAAGACTTCTTCCAGCGCACTCGGATCGGTTAATACCCCGGTAAGACTGGATGGATTTGTGGCTCTCCTTTCTATTCTGTATTGCTATGTTATGATGTATTCTCACTTAGATTCAAGCTCTTCAACACATAGGTCAAGGACATGAGTAAAGATGGTGATTTTGTTTTGTATATTCAACTTACTATATTCTGCTGTACACTGTGTTGCATTAACTCATATTACTTATGCTGACTTTTGCTACGTATTCTCTGTAGTCTGGGACCACTTGAAAACCAATTTTTGTGACAGAATTGAATGGGGCTACCTAGCAGATTCAAAATTCAAGATAGGAATATAAAAATAAAACTTGCTCACACTTCAGGTTCAGCCACAGGAGTACAGTTCAGATGAGGATGATGTCAACGACGTGAGGTTCACTTCAAGTGCGGGATACGGCGCGGGAACCAGTTCTAAGCGCAAGCGATACGACAGCTATGAGTCACCCTCGCCCAAGAAGAGCAAGAAGGGGATGACTGAGTTCCTGGTGGAACTCTTGACTGACTCCCACAAGGAACTGCGACAGTCACAGGCTACCCTGGCAATGGTACAGTACTGCTCCCACTCCAAATGTACATTGATAAAAAAACATTGAAGTCAACATTGGATTAACGTAATACATTATACATAGTACACATAGTAACTCCAGCAACTCAGATTTTCAGTCAGCGTGGTCTTAAAGCTAAACATGAAGCAAATTTGCAAGCCAAAGACCAATGTACATAGAATGTCTGTATCAAAGTTATCCTGAAACCATGACACAAGTTGCATAATACAGATGTGTATATATTGCAGGCTGCCAGCAGTGCGAGTGCCGGCACCAGTGGCACCAGCGAGCGGAACGCCTGGGCCCAGTGGCTGTCCAGTCTGCAGCAGGAGATCCCGCAGGACACGTGGCGGGTGTACCAGGTGGAGACCTTCACCATCGCCATGCGCTACGCCATGGGGGCACAGCAGCAGCACCACCAGGCTTCCCAGCAAACCCTAAACCAGCCTTTCGACGAGCTCGCACTGCCGCTACCCCCTTTTAAGGTCACGCCCTCAACACAGCAGCAGCCAAACAGGCACATAAAAACGGTACGTAAACCTTCATGTTAGATACTATAACAAACTTTGTCTTCACAGTAGAAAAGTTTCACAGTCTGAGGAAAATGGACATAATCTTCATGAATCATAATCACAGAACTTAATCTTCATGATGACAGGAGAGGGGGGCAGAAGACAAATGATTTGATAATGATAAGTCCATGGTACAGAAGTGACCATAAATTAGTGAACATAAAAGTACTGCTGTACTGAATGCTGTAATATACTATTCCGTGAATTTTGTTAAAGACAGTCCCTGGTCACAGTTGGCTACTTTATTGTGATCCCTTCTTGGATTGCATTGTTTGAATAAAGATATCTGCCATGTGTTGTTTGTTTTCTCCGTATTATGCATTAAGTTTTCTTTTTTTCTTATTTACTTTAGGTCACCAAAAAATCTTCAAAAGACACTCAAGATTTAGGGTTTAACTTAAACAAAGTGAGAACTGAGTGAAGTAGATGAGAAAAAAGTAGTTTAACCACTTTGGAACTCGAAATAGACAAGCCCACACATTGCAAGATCTTCATTGTTAAACCATTATCTTGAAGATGTCAAGGTTATAGCCATTAGGAAAGCAATCAGATGGAAGCTTGTTCCATAGAGAAAATTCTAGAAAGAAACCGTCAGTATTGAGGTTCACAGTGTGGAGGTAGAAAAGTTTATTTTTGTCAGTGATAGTGGCAAAATGTTCCTTTGAGTCAGTTTGACATGGACAGGGAACAATAAAGAGCAAGATAGCTCAGTAAGGAAAAGGTTCTCAATTTTTCTGTCCTATTTACTTTAAGAAAATTACAATGTACTACAGCATATTTTAGTCATCATATTTGTTCAAATAAAATAGAACCAACATTTATCATCAATACCCATTGCAGGTTTGAAGTTCACCATAAGTAACCGTATAAAGTCCACAGTATATTTCTCAATAGCACTTTGCTACCACGATGCACTTCCTGCACACTTATGGGAGAAGGCCTCCAGTTTCTTTCCCTCTGCTTTGGCTTTTACGGTCCCCAGCCCTCATCTTTTACCTCCTACATCACTGCCTTTTCCCTGCAGACATTGGCTGATACTGCTTGTCCTCATAGCCTGGGTGCCAGACTGTTTCCAGAGCGTACACAGGCCAGTTGCACGGCTCCAGGGCCAACATGCCTCCAGGATCAACAGGCTCCAGGACCCTAGTATACCACAGCCCCCTCTTAGCCACCCTGACTAACTCTGGGCCTAGCTTACTACGGGTCTGACTACTGCAGGACTATTGTCTTCACAGCCTAGGACAAATGCCTAGGTAGCATTGTGGACTCTGAGACAGACCTTGTGTTGTCTATAGAAGTCTCTGCGACTACATACAAGGTGGTCAAGAAGTCATCCTAAATGCATTCTCCATCATAGCCCTGACCTGGCAGGTGATCCAGTCATATGCTTTTTGATGCACAGACAGCACCTTGAGAAAAAGCCTTGTAGTTATACTACAGATGTCCAGACTTGAGGGTCATGGTGGTAGCATGCTTGGTTCGTGGGGCATGTTACACTGCACCTGTCCAGCTAGGCTGTGACAACCAGCCGGCACCCTACCACACCCTGCAGGGGTCACACCACGACACTGTGATGGCATCTCACAGGTGCTTCCTGGACCCTGGCCAGTAAACAGTCTAAAGCTGGCCCAGTGTAGTCTCTCCAAGCAGAGGTTGAGGCATATTTTTTATGTCTTTTCAGGCTTTCTTACTTGTACCGGTTATCTTTATTTTACTGTTCTTAAACCTGTGTTTTTAGTCAGGTGGAGGCTATAGCTTCACCCCTCCATGGTCCCCCTTGGAAATGTGACTGAGGCATAAGTAGGAAATGTTATCTCTAAAACTCATATACATAATGTACTTCATCCTTCAAATTTGAACTACATGTATTATGATATGCCAATTCTAACAATTATCCTTGTTTTATTTTCATACCAGCCTCTGCTGTACTCCTACTTCCGTAGTTCATGTGCCTGGAGAGTTCGCATCGGTATGTTAACATTAATCATGTTTCCTTAGAAGTTTCAGTAAGGTCATAAGAAAGGTTTTGTAACATTTGTAGCCCTTCGCCACCAGATTTGTATTGGTTATGGGGTTAACCAGCAGAGAAAAAGCTAATGACTTGTATCAATAGGTCACTGTGAGTGTAAAATGCAGGAGGTAAATGTTGAAGATACGTGTGTCCTCAGATTCTACTATAAACTTGTAGTTTTGCACATCTCCCATTATTAACCCTTGTCCTGCTGTGCGCAACATATGTCGCGCAGCACATACAGTACCATCTATATAACACCCTGTATAGGTACGATTTGGGGGTGTTTCTCGTGCAACGCTTCACACCGCAGCGAAACGCAACGAATGCGGAAGTAACTATGCCACTGCGGGGCAAAAAAATTTGAGGGTCTATGATCTAATTAAGACATGAAATTATTGAAAAATATTGTGCCAGGAATGCCAGCAGGACAAGGGTTAAACTCAGCCTGTGTAGAAAAGTATATGATGAAATCTTGAATTCTGTCTACTGACTACTGTGAATTTTGATAACGGGAGCAACTGTCTAATTTGTTGTATTTTACTTTAGCTCTGAACCTGAAGGGTATCGAGTATGAACAGGCTCCTGTACATCTCATAAAGGATGGTGGACAACAGGTAAGAATTGGCCTTGTCACAGCTACTTTGGTTGAATGATAGTTGAAGAAAAGCTTTAGGGTCACTCCTTTTGGTTAACGTTACAAACTTCCAGGTTCAACAGCATGCTTTTGTTTGTGTTTTGTTTGTTTACAATGTTTCTATCCCCACACAGCACTCAGAAGAGTATAAACAGAAGAACCCCATGGCACAGGTGCCCACCCTCATCATAGATGGACACAAACTCACCCAGTCTGTAAGCATATTTTTGCCCATTATATGTATGATACATGTACATGTTTATACATATTTTGTCTGTAAAATGCTAGTTATGTATGTAATAGTCTCAATTCAAATGAAAAACATATACTATAGGATTAATCATTAGATAGCAGTTTAATTGATTTTTGTATTGCAGCTACACTGTATGTCTAAGCCATGATGCAAACAAGTCTTAGTAGTGCATAGCTTGATATGTATGTTGACATTTTAGATGGCAATCATGGAGTACCTAGAGGAAACCCGACCAGACCCTCCCCTCCTGCCAAAGGACCCTGCTACAAGGGCAAAGGTGCGTAATGGGCGGTAGTATATCCCTTCATCAAACTATTGCATCAGATATAAGTTATTTCCTTTGCCAACAAGGTCATGTATTTCTGCTGCCCACTGCTAGGTGGTGCTGCAGTGGGAAAGATGTGGTCCCAAACATGACAAAAGTTTGTATCCCCCTCATCATCATTGAATTACAGATATACTGATCACCATTATAAATGTCATATCTTCCATTTTATATTGCAGGTTCGGATGATTGCAGAGACTGTTAATGCAGGCATTCAACCCATTCAGGTGACCTTATACACTATACAGCTACCAAGTATGAAATAATCTATTATATTTGACAGCAACATCATTGAAAATAATAAAACTTTCCATTGTTTCCTGTGTCTTGTTGAAATAAAAGTTCCTCCCTTGATAGATACATGTACTTTAATTGCATGTATTTTTGCAGTAGGAGTTTAAAGGAGGTTTTCGCAATGTTTTAAGTGAGTCTAAACATCACTGTACCACAAAAATACATATTTGTTGAAAGTCACTGTGGATACTGCAAAAATAAAACTATCGCAAATGTTTAAAAATTTATTAAGTTTGATTTGTCTTGACTGTTTGTTAGTCATGATAATCTCAGAACACGAACATCTCCCTTTCCTCCCTACCTCCTACCTTTAGAACCTGAGTGTTCTGCAGAAAGTTGGGGATGAGAAGAAGATGGAATGGGGTCACTACTGGATTGACCGAGGCTTTACAGGTGAACATGTTCTTCTCTCTTCAACATAGCAGATATGTATGTATGTACAAATGACACAAATAAACCTTTAATGCATGGCTTCCTGTGGCATAATGGTCAGAGCAGTTGGCTTAGAACTAAGAGGTCCCGTGTCCAATCCCTTAACATGCCTGGTGCTTTTGGGATAGGCAATCTGGAGGCATGATGATGATGATGGGATAGGCACTTTATACGTCTTTCCTCACTGTATCACTAATTATTAATACCATAGACGTGTCTGTATCTGTATCGGTATAGCCGGTATAACCTCACTTCAGCATAACACACCAGTCCTAACACTGATGAGGACACAAACAGATTGCGAAGACTTGCAAAGATCTGCACAGTTGCCAATTAGCTTTTTTTCCTTTGCAATCACTTGCATTCACGGTAGCTACCACCGCAACAAATGTTATCAGTTTATCTACTAGTATCAATTTAGCATATGAAAATGATGTCTTAGGGCAGTGTCTTTTAGTCATTTGATTATGTTTCTAAATTCTATTCATGTTTACTTTACATACAAATGCAGCGTTTCTTGTCTGTTGTTGCAGCTTTGGAAACTGTACTGAGTGAGACTGCAGGAAAGTACTGTGTGGGAGACCAGGTGAGCTAACAGAAGAAGTATAGCAGTAGATGTAATGCTTTCAGTTCAATCTCCAAGCAGGTCTTTTGATGGCTACAGGACAGTACCAAATTGGCAAAACAGTATTGAATTGGCAGGGCAGTGTCCAATATGTCAGGGAATGGCTGGTGGAAAAAAAGATACCGGTTCAACAAAGAAAGGCCAATAAAAAAGCCTAAAAATAAGCCAAAGCGTAATAATAAACCTCTGCTTGGAGATCAGTTCTAATGGGGACATACTTTGCAAAATTGCATTGTGACCATAAAGCTGCTTTTATCACGTTTTAGTCAGGTATTAAAAAGACATTCAAATTGTATACACTTTTAACAAAATGCCCCATGTTCTGTAATTTTATCAAGATATATATTCTTACTGAACAAATTATTATTAGCAAATGTGGTACATACAAGCTTGTACAATGTATTCAGAACAGCATGTTGAGAGGACTTATATGAATGACATAGTGCCTGAAGTATGAGGTTTATAGAATCTACTAAGCAACACATTTTTTCTGCCTTTTTGACTACAGGTTACTATGGCTGACCTGTGCCTCGTGCCACAGCTGTATAATGCCACTAGGTGAGTTACCAAATTCTGCCATTTTAGATTTCTGCAGCTAATGTTAAAAGAGTGGATGAACATCATTTGAACAAAATTACCACAATTCACAAAAGAAATGAATCTTTCAAATCCTTTGCGAAATTAATTTCGACCACAGAATATTTAGGGTGTACATTTAGTGATTTTTTTTTCAAAAAAATTTTTTGTCTTTTTCTATAGAAACAAAGTGAACATGGACAAATTCCCCAAGATTTCCGGCATCATAAAACGCTGCTCAGAACTGGAGGCATTCAAGACAGCCCACCCATTCAGCCAGCCTGACTTTGTTAAGGCAGAAATATAGGACAAATATGACGCTTGCTTCCACTTGAGATGATTCTCTCACCAAATTTAATTTTGCTACTATTGTGTATTGTAATTTTTAAGTTAAAATTGATTTCTAGTTAATTCATCTCAGTGGAATGCCTGACTTATATAATTGAAACTCTATGTTGTTACGACTATGATAATGATTCCAGGCTAAATAACTAACCTGTTTTGATAGTCTGTGGTATTTTCCATAGAGTAAGATATGTTCATTATGTGCTGACAGGTGCATGGATACACATGAGCTTTGGTGGTATTCCCAAACTCTGACGATGACTTCTCAAAGAACTTCTAATTGTACCAGGATTCGAAATACCTACTATACCTCACTCTGGCCACACAAGTCATGGTTTCTGTGTGTGGAGATGCCATGTTGCCTGGCACAAAAGTTACGACAACCTGAAATGGCAACCTGAAATGTTGATGGGCAACCTAGCTTTTGTTTTAACTTAAGTTGCCGAGTGGACAACCTGAGAAAAAAAGTATTTGAAACCCTGTTGTACCCTTTAGTATAAAAGGCTACTGGCTTTTGTCTATTCCAGGTTCAAGGTTGACCTGTCCAAGTTCCCCACCATTACCCGTGTGTGTGGGAACCTGGCAGAGTTGGAGGCCTTCAGGGCAGCTGACTACTGTCGACAACCAGACACCCCAGAAGACCTCAGGCAGTGATGTCATTTGTCTGGTTGTGTTAAAGGCATCCAACGCAATTTCAGGGCAGCAAAACTGGAAATACATATTCTGAACAAGGCAATCTGTATGATATTGACACATACTGTCCCACATTAGCACATTTAAAACAAGCCCCAAGATTAGGGGGGCACACCCCAGTTTATTTGGGGCCTCTTTTCGAAGCTGCACACCCTCAAATCTAGCGACCGTCTCTGGCGTGGAATAATTCGGAAGGAGAATAACTGTATATGGGACGAAAGGGTATCTCTTCAGCTACAAGACAAGCTGAGTTTGGTTTCTTCAACCTTTTTAAGTTTGGTAAAATCAACGGAAAAAACATTATTTTCACTCCAAAATTAATGCCCAAAATTGCGAATTTTCGCGTAGGATAATCCCACAAAAAAAAATTTTCCGGCAGAAATGACTGATGCTGGCAGAAAGACCCAAGCCTTGACTATACCCGAGTAAATTATAAAGAAAATTCTAGTACTGTAATTTTCTAAACAGTCCACGGCGCGAGGGGTTGCAAATCCACCCCTACGAAGCCACAGAGCGAAAACTAGGTCAAACGGGCGGATTACACTTGGCGCGCAAGGATACCCGGAAGTAAGGTTCGGAGCCAAAAGAAATTTTCACCCCCAAATCACCATTTCTTACACTCTTCAGCCATGTTAATGTTTAATGATACTTCGTGGCAGTTTATAAGAAATGTCACCTCAAACTTGGACCCTCAAAACCCTTTCGTCACTTTTTTACAACGGACTATCACGGACCCCGGTCGCGGAAGAACTGGGGTGTGCACCGTTAGTCCTTTATTTTCTGGGTGGTACCCTTAAAATACTTCTAGTAACCGTTTTTTGTTAGAATTTTTGTATTTTTGCTCCGTGAATGTCGATCTACATTGGGACACTGTTGTTTCAGCTAAGTATGTAGATAGGTGACTAGAATATTGACTTTGAAAAATATGGTTTCCAAGCCCTTAAAAAAAACTGCATTGAATGCCTTTAACGTCTGTACGTTGGCCCAGGGAAAAATGCATGTTTCCAGTTTCCCGACGGACCCTAGCCTTGGGTCAACTGCTGGTGAGGCACATGGATTTCAAAACCAGGGAAACATAATTTTCATTTAGTTCATTTCACAAATTTATTGAGTAAATCCGAAGACATATTTGTCCCTTCCCAAAAGCAAACAGTGGGACGGGCCCTTGAGACAGCCCTGGTCCTGATACATTTCAGTTTTACGCTTTGTGTTTGTTGGATCACTTCAACTAAAACCTAAATGAAAAGAGGATCCCTACCTACCGGTCACGTTTAAACATTTGTACTCTTCGAATATTGCTAGGCAGAGTGACAAGGAAGATTTGACTTATTGTGAAAAGAAATGACTAAAGCATCAACTTTCCAAATGCTCCAATCCTATAAAAGAGCCTCTTATTTAAATCAAACTGTGATCAAGCCTGACTTAGCAAGACAGTGTGAAAAGTTAAAGTCATCTTCGAGATGAAATACTTGTGATTCTGTTTAAAGATCTTTCTGCAATTTTGACCATGGTGGTGAAATAGGTATGGTTATGGTGTAAAGCCATCAAAAGATTTTATTGCTTTTCTGAGAAAAATCAGGGAAAGAGGCTAAATGATGGGAATGTCTTTGTTGGTGTACTAGGATATTATTTTAATTCTTACATTTATGTTGTGAAACCCATTTTTTTATGTCTTGTTTATTTGTTTATTTGGAAATCATGCCAAAATAAACAATTCCCACATCAGTGAAGCGTCTGCTTTTCCAACTTATTCTAGTTTCAGCTTTTTGTAGATAAGGAGTTATATATCACTGAATGTTTTTGTAGATTATCCTTATATCAACATATGAGGGGACGAAGATAGGAATGAGATGTTTGAAATATAATGAAATCATCTAACTGCAACATATACTTGTTGCACATTTTAAGATGCAGTTTTTTTAACAGTTCATTCAAACTTTTTGCGTACATTAATTGCATGGGACTTTTCTGTTTTGAATTCGTATTCAATTACGAAAGGGAACTTTGTACTGAGAAGTACTGAAAGTTACATAGGGGACATCTCAGTACATACAAACACACACACACACACACACAAGTAACAGACAGCACAATTGATGTAAACTTCAAAATACTTTTATTTTTACTCCAAAATCACTCCTGACAAAGAACCATAAATTCTTAAATCTCAGCATCTGAAGGATAAGAACACTAAAACAT